GATGAGAAGAGAAGTGAAAGCCAGAGCTGCTGAGGGCACTTGGCCAATCCACTTGGGAATTCCAGCATTAACAAAAAGCAACCAGTGAAAGGACAGAGCTCTAGAAGTGCAGATTAATGGACAAACTCATTCTGGTTTCCTGTAAGCTTTGCACAATGGAAATGACCCAAGCAGATTTTCCTGGACAGCCTTCCCCATGACTGAAGGCTTAATTCAATGTCAGGCAGACACATAACCAGTAAAACCCACACCATCATCATCACCTTGGTATTTCCATTTATTATGCTGTAAAAAGCAACGCTATCTGGATTTTATTTCTTAAAATAAATAACTTTCATTTTCAGAACCAGTACAGCTGAAGTTTAGATTCATTCATGGGAAACTGCTAGAAATACATTCATCACGTCCATTCCCCACAACACAGAATCTAAAAGTCAAGATCAGCCCAGTCAGTTACAATGACCAGAAGCTACTGCCAGGAAGTACAGTCACCGATAGTCCAGCTCTGAAGCAAAAAAACCTGGTACAACACGTTTTGTTCACAAAGATAGGCTAATTAATGCTAAGACTATCACAACATTTCTGAGTACAAAGCATTAACTTAACGATTTCAAGTTGTGATACAGAAGAAACAGATATGACATAAAAACAAAGGAGTGGAGGAATCCTCTTTGGAGCATAAGGAAGTCAGCATTTTAGGAGATAACCAAAAGCTATTGATGGTAAAAATCTACATGTCAGTGTCATGAATAATAAACAGCCAAACCATATACTGCATATATTTATATTCATAAATAACGCCATGTCTAAATAGCTGCATCGCTGAACTGGACATTACAAAAAGAGTCTTCTCACAGTGAGAAAATACTAAAACTAACCAGCAAAAATGCACTGAAGCTCTAAGACTGGCTAAAAGCACTCAGCATGATTCAGGAAAGCATTAAGTTTAGGGACAGATCTTTAATGTTAACTCGGTTAAAATGCCTTCTTTTGGGTTTTTTTTTGTATATATGTGTAGGGTGTAATATTTTTTTTTAAAAAAAAAGCCAGTGTGAACAATGCAAATTTCAATCAAATAAAGCTAAATCCGGTATTTTTTTGAGAAGCCAAAGGGTATGTTTTAATAGGGGAAAAAAATATGGAAGTCAGATTAGCACTGAGATACAGAATAGTAAATAGGAGCCCATCTGAAAACATTCCTCTACACTAAAGTTGACGGAACGGTTGCCAAAGAAAATATGTTGGAATTTAGTTCAGGGTGCAGCAGAGAAGAGGCCCTTGTGCTACTCAGTGACCAATGTGTCTCAATAAAGAGTCAGAGGCCATTTTGTTTAGTTCTTGGTCAGAACTAAGGTGGCTGTGACACAGGACTTGAAAAGAACGGGTTAAAAGCCTTCAGAAAAACAGCTGATCTTCAGTTAAAGAGAAGAAAAAAAAACAAGTAAGGAAAAAGAACAGTGAGTTTCTTGAGAAAAAGTGTTTGATAACCATGCCAGCCAGATGCAAAATGTGATTTCAGGGCTTTAGACTTTCAGACTCTTCCAAGATTTCATCCTCATAAAGACAGTCACTGCTTGTGATGAGTATCAAGCACTTTTCCATGAGATTTCTCCTCCCTCCAGGGAGGCACTATGGCATATCAACAAGAGACTGTACAGAACTTGAACTGGAACTTGACTGGATTTATTCTCAACTCTACTGACCTACTGGGTCACCGGAGAAGTTATTTCTCTCTACACCTTCACGGACTCATTTGCAAAAGGAGGATAATGCGGTTCAGATCATCTTTATAAAGTGCTTGGACCATTCTAAAAAGAATTTGGGCATTATTTCAGGAGGATTTTGGTGCCTAAACAGAGAATTTGAACTTCGATATCTACTCAAGACTTGTGCACTATGTGCTAGGATAAAAACAGCCACATACACAGTTCTTGTGCACAACCTGCTTTTCCACGTGCTAAACAACTCTTGCCTAAAATTCTTGTGCTAAAATTCTTGCCTGTGTCCAACAATCGTGGCATTTGGTGAATATCAAACCCTTAACTTGAAGTGATGCTCACGGCTGAGGCTGTGTGCCACAGAACTGGCAGAAGCAACTGCTCCTGTCCTCATGTACTTCTGCAAATAACAAGCACCTGCATCGACACTTCCCGCCTGGCACGACAACACCACCACTCACCAAATGCATCACACCTACTACTTGTGCTCCTGTTGCTGAACTCCTGTGCTACACCAGCAGAATCCCACTGATGGGATATCCTACTCCCTGGTTGATGGTAGTGCAAGATGAGAACATACCCCAAAATTTGGCTTATCTCCTGCTCTGCTCATGCTTTGATTGGCTCTGTGCTCCTTAAAGCTGTTTCACTCCATCCGTGTTCCTTACCACAAGCCTAGTTTAAGTCAGATTTCCATGTAATATTTGGTTTAATACTTTGCCCTTCACATACTTCCATTCCCCTTGCTGTTTCCTGGTGCAACTGCCAAGAACCCCACAAGTGACCCTGAAAGGGGTTTTTGCAGCTTGTCAAGACTTGCTGTAGTGCAAACATACCTGCAAGGAACACGGCTGCATAGAGTGGAAGCACCTGCTTTCCCCAGCATCAGGGAAGGACTTTAGCAGCTGAACGTGGAGAGAGAGGAGGGAGGTGAGACAAAGGGAACTGAAAGAAACACTTCCAAAACAGAAAAAAAACCCAAAAAAACCCCAACAAAAAACCACAGTGCACACTGTTTGATGTTACAAGTCACATTCCCCTACACCATTTGGTCAAACAAACCTTCAAACAAATTCCCTGACAAGACTATAAGAACGAGCCTAGACCATTGACAAGTGTCACCTACATACTCTGTTGATATTTATATTATGTAAACAAGGTTTTGTGGAAATTTTTTGTATTTATTTCTTTTTTCCCAAAGATAGGTGCAGATCCTTACCTAACACACCCAGTCTAAATCTACATCAGCATCCTCAGCATTTGAAAACCTCACTGACGCTCACACCTGACAGCACCCTGGCTCATCCTGGCCATACTGGAAACAAGAGGGCTATAGAAACAACAAACTCAGCCAAAAAATTCCTGACCACAGACTAGAACTCACATAGAACACAAAAATAAATTAAGTAGTGCACAGTAAAGCCAACAATAGCTAAGTATTTTTATACATCAATTATATGCAGCATGAGGTAATATTGCTCACATTATGGAGGGAGATTCTTAGTTGGTTTTGTTTCTTTTGAGATTGGATTTGTCCTGTGCGCATAGAAACTCCTGTAACATAACACTGAAGTAACAGAGACTTCTGTAAAATATATACCACTATCAGATAGAAACACACACGCTCTTCATTACTTATGTATACCACAATTAAATAGGTGAGTGATTTGATTCTTAGGATCTAGCTGAAGATTATAGTAAGCCATCTAGGTTTTTATGAACCGTTCGGTTCTCCTTCCCGTTGTTGGAATCCTCTGATGGTGTGTATTGGACCTGATATTCCTGAAGAATTTTAAAAACATCGTGGTGTCCAAAATGTAAAGCTTCATCCATAGGAGTGTTATTCCACCTACAGGAAGGAGCAACAGTATTTCTAAAATTAGCACCTAAGTACAGAGCCAAAAGCACCAAAAATCTAGTTCTTTCTACCTGGGAAAACACTATAAGATGAGCATCATCTTTTAAATAGCAGTTTTAATGGTGCCACAATTTCTTTTTTTATTCCTGTTTGCTCTGCAGAACCTACAGAGAACCAGTAGGAACCTGTTCCTTCTTCTTCAATGTACTGGCCCAATGCATTCCATTCTTATTTGATGGACACCTCCCCTCGCAGGGGCTAGAGAGGTGCAGAGGAGCATCTCTCCTCCAAACGGACAATGAAATTACTCACCTGTCTTTGGGGAAGGGATTCACTTTGCATGCTTCCAG